TCTAGTCTACATTGCATTGAAGGCAGAAGACAAGTTGCACGTTTTTGCCAGGCTCAAATACGGAAGGGCTCAAAAATGAAGTGCAGACGCGCACAGGCAGCGTCGCTTTATGAATGGGCTAAAGCAATGGCTTAAAAAGAAACCAGTGGGAATAGACTGAAGGGGGGACTAAAGGGTTTGGTGCGGTTGCAATGGCGACAGCGGCTAAATAAAAGCTAAACGAATCAGCAGACCGGAAGACCATTCAAATGTTTACTTGCATGCCTGAGCAAATGCAGCAGAAGTGTGAGTGTGTGTGTGTGTGAGTGTGTGTCGCCTGAGTGCCCATTTACGTGACAGCAGCAACAGCAACAACAACGTGCCGCATGCCCCACAGCAGCTATCAAGATGAGGTCATAGCTATAGCTGGACCTCGTCTTCGATTACACATCTGCTCAGCATGGCTCAGCACTTTGCTAAGCAAACAAAGCGCACAGCTACGACTATCGATATCTATATCTGTTTACCTATATACGTATCTATATCAATATCTATCTGCAGTTGCATTTGCATCTGTTTAGCTATGCAGCTCTTGGGCTCCACTTTTTTGTTGCCTACTTTCAGGCGCTCRATGTTCTTCCTTCTCATTCACTTCCGGCTTGCATTTGCTGCAATTGCAATTGCTGGTGTCTCTGCTCGCGGCTATTACAGGCGACACCAGCTAGGTGTTATCAGCACTCTGAGCTTGTGAGTTATCGCTGCGTGGGGCATGCAGCCCCACAGCTCCTCACGCCCCTTCGCCCAAGCATGCTGAAGCTGAGTGTGGGCTCGCAGCTTGCAGCTTCGTCTTGGCTTATTCACCACACTCGCTTGCGCAGCTGCGGCGCTCAGCAAGAGACGTTAACGAACACACACACACTTAAGCACAAACACACACAAACACACACACATATGACGATTCAACAATAGCGTCATCGTAAAGCATTTGCCGCATTTGGCGGCGTTTCTTTAGCTTTCTTACGTTTCATTGCTTTACTTTTCTTTTTTTATGGCCTATGCTGCCAGACACACATACACGCACGCAAACACACACATACATACGCAGCCACATAAAATAAGGTTAAAATTTGAAATCAATAAAAATTATTCCACCCGTCTAAAATTAGAACAGAAAGCCTAAGACAAAAGCCAAGCAGCAAATGACGATATGACGACTTGTAACTAAAACCAAAGCAATGCCAAGCAGCCCTACACGCACACAAACACACATACACATGGCTATACGTAGCCCATAAACCCTCGCTTAAGCATTAAAACAAACACGCAGCCTTGCGAGTAGGCGTGGCTGTAGGCAATCTCTGAATGTATATAAAAAAAAAAGTCGAAATACTTTATTATATATACGCTGTCAATGCGCTTTCTGCGTGTCAATGTGTGCGTGTGTGTGTGTGTCTACACTCGCATGACAATTCATATGCCGCTGCAGGCACTTTGATAACCTAGGGCAGTACGAGTTTTTGGGGGCAGAATACTTGAAAATTGCTTTTCGTGTGAAATAAAAATAAATACAAAAATTCAAATTAAAATCAAAATAAATTGAATCGAAGGGGGGAACTTTGACAGCTATTTTAAATATGAGCCTAGGGATACAGCCATTTATATATGTATAGATATATACGTGTCTGTCTATTAAATAATTACAGTTTACGGGGCGTATGCGTAATTTTACTAAGAACTACTTAGGTCTAAGAGCGATTAGCTTAAATCTAGACACAACAAATATTAATAACTATGCAAATTTGTTAAATTTATATTTAAATTAAGTTATTTATATATATATAAGACACAGACATACGAGTTATACGAGCTATACGAGTTATATACGAGATACACGAGATATACGAGACAAGCAGAAATTAGTTAGTTGATCTTAGGGAACTTTTTTTTTTTTTTTTACTCAAGACAATCGCAGAAAATCAATAGAGCTTACAATGCATACGTGTGTGTGTGTGCGTGTGTGTATGTGTGTGTGTGTGTGTGTTCTGTCTTGATCATAAATTTCTTATAGAGATAGTTATAGCTATATATTGTAGATGTATTAGAGCTGCTCACCCGCTTTGCTTAGACGATGAATTTTGAATGCTTTGAAGGTTCCACGCGGCGTATGAAATTTATTTGATATATTTTTTAGCTATATATATATGTTGCAGCGCCAGCTTTCGCTCTAGTTCCAGCTCTAGCTCCAGCTCCAGTTCCAGCTCCAATTCCAGTTCCAGCTCCAGTTTCAACTTGAGCCTTAGCTGCTGCTGCTGCTGCCTTTAGCTCAACAATTTGTTTCTACTAGCAAATTTATGTTTAACACACACAAACATTGCCTATGTGTGTGTGTGTGTGTGCGTGTGTATGTATGCTTTCTGCGGTTGCTGCTGCTGTTGGTGTGGTTGTTGTTGTTGTTGTTGCTGTTGTTGCATTTCCGTTTATGCTAAATTTCAATTTGAAAATTTTGTTTTCACACTTTTTGTCACTTTAAATTTTTTTCTAAATTTGTTGCTGTTATTTTTGCTTGACTAATTGCATTTTGTTGATAGCCGCTTATTGGTTAATGCATATATATTATTAATATTGTAAAGTTGCAATAAATATTTTTACATTTTCATATGCTATAGAGAACATAGTAATATTATTATTTTTTATGTATGTACATGGCTGTTGGGTTGGAGTAAAAAAACGCACGCAAACCGCACTTGAGTTAAGCTGTTGAACTTTTTAATTTCATTTAAAAATATATACATTTTGTTTTTCGTTACGCACAGTTAATTAAAGCACTTTAATATGCATATATATATGTATATGTGTATATTTTTTTTATTTAATTTTTATGCTTGCATTGTTGCTTGAGTGCTGCGTGCTCAACGAGTGATTTGTAAGGGCTGTGCGAAGTTTTTTTGAAGTTGCTTGGAGCACTGCTATGTGTGCTCTCTCTTTCTCTCTCTCTTTCTGTCATTCACACAGTCAGGCACTCCTCTCTCGTTCTCTCTCAGCTACTGACACACATTTGTGCCCACACACAGACACACGCACACCCATACACACAGAGGCCAAAGCGGTGAGCGCGTGAGAGTGGGAGTTGTGCGCTTCACGGAGTTGCCGGAGTGTGTGCGCGCGCTACGTTGCAACGTAAGCGTCTACGTAACGCTAGCGTAACGAACCGAACGAACCACTAAACGAAGCTAACGACATAAGGGCTACCAGAACCCTAGGCCCTCGCCTCCCCCGTCCTTTCATTGCTGGCTCCCATCCCCACGCGCTCTACGCTAGCTACATTATGTTACACACCTCCGCGCGCCTATCCCCAACTTCACGGTGTGTGTGTGTGTGTGTGAGCGTGTGTCTACTGTTATACAGCTTATAGCTGTGCGTATGTGTGTGTGTGTATGCTTTATATGTAGGTTGAAGCAATTTATAATAAATTTTTCCTTCTCTTCTTCCATCAATCGATATGCGTTTAACATGACCAATATAATATATTGGTTATAGCTGCGCCTATAAATGTGACTATAGCTTCTGGGTGTTCGATTTGATGTTTGATTGCAGTTTGATGTCTGCTTGATGTAAGTTTAATACATCAGCTTTTGCTTGGTTTTATCATTTCTTTTCGCACAATTTTGCAGGAAATCTGTTTTCTGTATCCAGGGTGCAGTTGCGGCCTAAAGCACAATTGCTACTATACACGCACACACGCACACTTACACTCACGCACACATATCAGCCTACACATATACACATTTAATTTTTTGTGATATTTTTCTAATAATTTTTTCACGTTTTTTTATTGCACAAAATTACACGAAGTTTTTTTTTTTTCATGTTTAGCCTTTTTTTGGCATCAAGTTAGCTTTTTTCGTATTTTTTTTGTATTGCTGCTAAAAGATACTTTTACAGATACACACACACATACATGTGCGTGTATGTGTCTGTGTGTGTGTATAATCTAACCCAAAAAATTGTGTTGTGCGGCAGCTTGTAGGGCCCGTTTTTCACATATGTATATATGTATGTATATATATATATATATATAGATATATGTATGTATATGTAATTTATTTTTTGGTATTTTGTTTTTTCGGCAACGCCGTTGTCCAACTAACAACTACCCTCAATGTACTGAGCGCTGTTCGCTCGTGCCAGTCGCTGTTATAGTCGACACATATAAGCCATAGCCAAAAACGTAAACGTAGTCGTCGTCGTCCGTTTCGCTCCGAGGTGAGTTTCCTAGTACTGTTGTTGTTGTTGTTGTTGTTATTGTTGTTGCTGGCAACTATAGTGAAGAGCAGATTCGGCATTTGTGTTCGCTCGGCATTTCCTGATTGCAATCAATGAATTTTTATCGCGCTCGCGCAGTTTTCCCTTACTCTCTCAACACTCACTCTTACTCTCTTACAGTCCATCTCTCCTCTCTCTTTCCCTATCGCTCTCACATTCTCTCTTGGTTAATTGTCTTTGCGTTTTGCATTGTGCGGCTAAATGAAAATTCCAATAGTAAAATATGAAATTCCTTTACAACGGCGTCCGTTACGTTTTCGCCTGCTGACGTTACGTAACGGCATTTGAATTGTTACGTTTCGTTTGCATGCATTTTCTTTAGGCTGGCAATGCTTTGAATTAAAACTAGCGACCTAAAAGTATGCTACGATTTTTAAAATCTAATTTAATACTTGGACCGCAGCTTGAAATTTTATCATGAGAAAGACTATGAATATATACAAATATTTACAAGCATTTTAAAATATTTTTATTCAATTTTTATTAGCACTTTTTACATGAAGATTTTTAATAAATTTTGTCATTTGTAATTGCAAAGCTCCTTAGAATGAAATGAAGTAAACTCTTCACATATTAAATAATTAATTAATACACATATATAAAATTATTTAAACACTCGGGCTGGTAACAGTATACAAACTATTTATTCGTGAATGTCGGTGTTTGAGTGAGACTTACAGTTAGAGTGTGTTTGTGTGTGTGTGTGTGTGTGTGTGGGTCTGTAATACATGAAATTTCGCATAATACTAGAAACATTAGAATCATTAAGAACTATTCGTAACTAAGTAATACTAGCAACATTTGCATCTTTTACTGGCTTAGCTGTCTGTCTGTCTGTCTGTCTGTTCATTGCGAGCAAACTATATTCTCTATTTACATGTGAACTCCTCGTAACTCTCGTCGCACACCTCGCACTCCACTTGACAGCACCAATGGAACTGGCATCTGCATTGCTGACTTCGCTGTATGTGCTGCGTATTGTGGCCACGCCCACAGCACAAAAGATCACAGCTCTGTGGGCCATGACCAGTGCGATTGCAAATGCGACCCCTTGTGCCCAATGTGCCCGTTTGAATGCTGCGCTCACAATAATTGGGCGATGCCTCCAAATAGATCAGCTCCATGCGTTTGGGCGCCATCAGTGAGGCCTTCTGCGCCATCTGATGCTTCTTTCTGTGAGAGAGTTGTAATGATGAGAGATGAGATGAGAGACTTTATTAACAGGAGTCTTCTTCTCTGCTCACCTGCTTAATACTAATCTCAGTCCACGTTTGCCTCTCAGGGCCTGCACTGTTTTGGCTTTTTGATATTTTTGCATTAGCTTCTCACCAATCAGGCGAAAGGGCGGCAGGCTTTTCCAGCAGGTTTTCATGACACACGAGCCGCTGACGCCATGGCACTTGCAATCAGTACGCAGCAGCTTCTTAACTAGCTGATAGAGCAGGTGGGGGTTTATAAGAAATGATTATTAAAAATTTATATTCGAATTATTATGCATACGCACCGTGCGCCCCACGCGATTATTATGCAAATTCATGAGCGTACGCGAATCTCGCTCCAATTCACGTGCGTCCATAAATTTCCGCGTATAACGCATACCGAATTCCACATCTGCCGAACAGCCGCCCCACTTCCAGGGCTCCGGCGGCGGCGACGTCTTGTGCCGCACATCGCAGCCGCAGAGCGAAATGTTGCCTCGCGCACAGGCTGCAGTCACTGCATAGGCAGCACCAGCGCTGGCTATTGCATAGGTATAAGCAGCCTCCCTCGAAGCTAGAAGAGAGCGAAGAAAGAGAGAGAGTGAGAGGAAATAGGAGTATATGAATAATAGAGAGTACGTCATAAAGGGACGTATATCGGAAATGCTTTACATAGAGTATACAGGAATAGTTATATGGGCATAGAAGAAAGAGAGCGATGAAGCGGAGAGAGAGAGAGAAGAGTTGGGAGTATATTAATAATAGAGAGTATGTCTCGAAGGGACGTATATCAGAAATACTTTATAGAGAATATATAGGAATAGTTATATAGACATATCATAGAAGTTTCCTAGATAAGTATATCAGAGAAGGCAGAGAGGATATTAGACAAACTTCACAGACAGAGTAATATACTCTGGGATGTTTCATAGTTAGCAAATCAGCGAGTATTCTAGTGCCGCATCTCTTTCCACTGCTCTCTATCTCTCTCTGTCTGTCTACTCACCGATTGGCACAACATGGGAGAATACATTGCGTTGCCACACCTCCGAGCAATTCCAACGATGGCCACGAAACTGATGCTGACACTCGTGGGCGCCGAGCTGCTGACCCTCACCTAGTGCGATCAGTGCATCGGGCATCTCGCTGCATAGCTGACGTTGACCCATCGTCAGACCGGGTATACGGCCGCAGAGCATGACAGACGTAAAGCTGGATACTAATCTGACGAGAAAGCGGAATGAAATTTCATATATTAATGACAGCCTTCACATATTATGAATGTCCTGTTAATGATAGATAAATGCATAGTTTCGTTTTTTTTTCCTTTGCAAACCTCATCTATGTCTCATACTTCTTATAACAACTGCAAGAGAAATTCCTGAGCTCGCATAGCTGGCAATTTGCAAGTCATTTATTGGGCACTCCATTAATCCAATTGGGCATTAAGTATAGAAAGCTAGTTGCTTATTATCGTGGATTATGTCAGCAGCTCTGAACTGTCTGGCATTTAAAGCCTTCGATTAGGCATGCGAGGTTTTTGATTTGGTCTGGCTTAAGCTTCTCTCCTCATGATTAGACGCTTGAGATGCATATGTAATTATGGCTAATAATATAGCTGGCGGCATTATTTTGACTAAAACTGACAGTAAAACTGTCTACGCCCCCTAAAAGCATGCCACTCACTCACCTGACTGCAAAAAACAAAAACCAACAACAAATGCAACAACTACAATAGCAACAACAATAACAACAACAGCTTCAATTTGAACGCATTAATCTTGCCTTTGAATGCGGCACATTTGCTTTTTCCATTGGCCAATTGCGACTTTTTTTTAAACGTTGACTCGTGGCCAGYTCTCAATTGTTGTTGTTGTTGCTATTTTCCTGGCAATGGCAAACTGAAATGGAAATGAATTGATCGCTGGCGGCATTTATTGAGCAGTAAGCACGACTTTTGTTTTTTCATTCATACTATTGAAAAAATGTAGAAGTAGTTGGGTATCATGATTTAGTGACAATGTATACAACAGATGGAAGGAGGCGTGGTCGATATGCTTGAGAGCAGGTATGTATCTGTCTCTCTATGACTGTTTATTCGTCTGTCCGTTACTTCACATATCCCTCAGTTCATGCATCCATCTCTTACTCTAATCATCTACTCTGTTTCTCCGCTTTACCTATTTCCCTTAAACCATCATCAATTTTGGTATATATGTAGTTCTCTTCTAAGTTCAGGGTATTTCCTAGTCATGCACTCCCAGCACTCTTAGTCGATTCATTATTTCTTCAGCCATCGATCGATCCACATTTGTTTGTGCATTTATTTTGTCATTTGCCATATTTAATTTATTGTTTACTTAATACGATGGCGTTTCTGTTGTTGTTGTTGTTGCTGTTGCAGCAAATAGCTGACTAGCATATGAAAATTGTTTATGAAATATCGAATTATGCACTGCAATGCATTTTATTGATGAACGAAGAAGTAAATGAATTAATCTAATTGTATAAATATTTATTTTAAAATCTTAAAACACACAATGTCATTCAAAAGGGATGATAAAATTTAAAAGTCCATTAAAGTTTTTCAAATTGAAATGAAAAACCAAGAAAAATAAAATGAGCTAAGCTTACTTGCTCCACTCAACCAGTAGATATATATCTAACTTATATTTTAGATTTCTTATTATAATTATATACAATTTTATTGAAGTTGACTTGACTATCTAATACCTGTCTTTAACAAAAACTTTACAGCTATTTTCTTAAGCTTGTTTTCTAAAGATTAAGCAAGTCATAGGCAATAAACGCTCTTGAAGTCGTAGGAAGAGCATTTGTGAATGGCATGTGTAGCTCGTATAGCCACTTCCCACACGCACACACACACACACACACACATTATCACACTCTCAGATAGAATATAGTAGCATTCCATAGCCGCATTCATTGGATGCATAACGAGCAATTGTCTGCATGTCGATTGGCCAACACACAAAAAAGCCAATCAGACAGCTGCGCATATTCATTACATACATATATATATGTTGTTATTTATATATATATATATATGGAGCTACACAGCTGTGTAATATCCTCGGGGCAGGGACTCGCTGTTGTCAGTCTGATTCGATTTCTGTCTTGTCAATGGGCTGCAACAGTTTTGGCCATTGCTTTCGCCCATGTTTACAACGCATTTTTAATTGGGCCAATTAAATCAATTTACAGAAATTACAAAGTTTACAAAAGATGGAGAGGGGTGGAGGGGGTAGAAAGTGTAGACAGAGTGAACAAAGTGGATCCACGTCCTCGCCCAAATTAACCCTTCAACTGGCAACTGAAAACTTGAAAGGGCCAACAACAACAACAATGCCAATCGACGATCGTTTTGAGTTCAATCTGCAGTAATATACCCTGTAAAGGGTTTAATGAGCGTGTAGGGCTACAACGATCTTCTATAGTATATGTATTGCCTAATTGTTACAGGACAGACAGCAATTGAACTAAAGCTTAATAAACCTCTGGCAATGCTCTCTCGCTCACACTTAAACGTTCAACATTTTCTTTCATCTTCATACTGATGCAGGACACTTACAACTACATCTACAGGGTATCTTCTCGTATAACAGCCATCATTGCAACACTCTTGCTCATTGCTGCTGTTGTTGCTGCTCATGAGTTGTTGTACATGTTGTTAACATGCAGCCGAGGCCCCGAAGACCAAAATTGGTAGTAAACTAATAATTAGGCTCGTTTAACAGGCACGACCACGCGGCGAGCTTGCCAGGATGCGATCACCAGATCGCACAACAACAACGAAGAACTGAAACAGCAACACCAACAACAATGAGCCACTGGCTGTTGTGTGGCTGCAATGCCTCAGTGGCCGACGCAAACCATCGCATCACCGAACCACTGAACCACCAAAACCACCGTTGCCAACCTTCAACTTTAACTTTGTTAAACTACGTTGATCGATCTGTCAGCGCATCCGTTTGCCAGTCAGTCAATAGCTTTCGTGCGTTCGCACAGCGTGACCGTCATGCCCACCTCAATAACAACAACAATATACACTTTGCCAACAAAAACAACAACAACAACAAATGGGCAACAGCTATCGCTCTCTTTTCATCGTAGCCTTTTGTTCTTATTTCATATACCCTGAACCTATTGGAAATGTGTAAAAAGGGTATATGGTTTTTGTTGAGGTAAGGGATAGAAGAAGATCACCAGTTCTATGGAGCATATAGATACTTCCGATAAACATGAGTATATATACGGGAATATATGTGTCTAAGAGAAGCTAGTCTAAAATCTCTGATGGGATCATATAGGGTTACGCACATACACCTACCATGAGAGTACAGGTTCAGAATAGTATAATATAATAGAAGGGTAGAAGAATATAAGTATATAGCATAAGTTTAAGAAAACAAGAGACTAATCTTATAGAAATATACGCCTTATTCTATCTATCATCTTCATCTATCTGTCTATATACTATATATAAGGTATCAAATTATAAACTTATCGAAGTTTAGGAGTAGAAAATATGTGAGTATTAGAATAAACTTCGAGTAAATGTAGATAAAAAAGTATGAAAATGAGACTAGGTGTGCCTTGCTATTCATTTTCTGCCACCATATAGCAGGGTATATTCTAGTCGAGCAGTGCCGCCTAGACATATCTCTTACTCGAGTTTTTTGTGCAGCTTGTGCAGTTTTGTTCCACAAACGCTGTTTTTTCCGCCGTGCCTTATTTAATTTGTCGTTGCCACTTGAAGCGCGTTGCTGCCCCATGCCATGTGGCTCCATTCCGTGTTGCCAGCTGCCGGCTGCCTGTTGCATGTCAACGTCGACAATTTCATCATCAACTTCAGCCGAACCCATCCTCCGAGCCTCTGCATCACTTACGCAGCGTCAACCGACGTCCGAGTCACGTGTACTTGATTTGTGCTTTGTGTTTTGCACCGCTTTTGCTTTTTCTGTTTTTTCTGTTTTTGTTGTTGTTGTTGTTGTTTTTTTTTTTGCTTCATGTTTTTGTTTTAGATGGCCTTACCTTACCTTGCCCTAACCTTAGCTATGCGGCTCTTCCTGCTGCTGTTGGTCTCTTTTATCTTTGGCTCTAGATCGAGGCACAGGCTTTGCGCTTGGGTCTACGCCTTCATTTCGTGACCCTTTTTTCTCTGGTTGTTTTTTGTGTTTTTGCTTTGTTGCGACGATTTAGATTCTTGTTCCCAGCTCAACGTGTGATGCGTGAGAGAGCAAGGACCTGTCATGAACTTGATATCAATGATATTGCACCAGGGTTGCCAGGGTTGTGCGGGCGGGCTAACTTAGCAAGCATAGACGAAGGCTCAATTATAAACAGCTCAATTAATTGGTGCAAGTTCAATGTAAGCCATTGGTACTCAAATGTATTATCCTTAGTATATCATCACTACGTCTATTATCATGGTCTTTTTTTTTTTCATTTATTATAGTAAAGTATTCTACTGCCTTCCAATATTTACAGATCTTAATAATTTGCATACATTAATTGAATCTTGATAATGCTTAAATCTACTTTGCTGAGTGCCAAACTTTTATGGTGTATATCTAGAGATCATCATCGACTGTGATATATTGAGCGTATAATTTTATAAGAGAAAATCTTGTTTAATATATCACATTTGATACTTTTTCCATATTTGTTCAATACGATAAATCATGAAGGCAGAGACTATGAATGATGTCAATGCTGGTTGCCAAATAACTTGTTTAATATATTAGTTAAACAAATAAATAAATAAACATGCCAGGAAAACAATGAAGTAATGCAAATCACCATATATATCGAAACTAAAAAGCGTAGTTCCAGTTTTACGTCTCGCTTTTCCAGTAGCCGACTTCCGTCTCTGCATTAACCATGCAGTTAATAATTATTATTGGTATTTCTTTTTTATTGTCTTCATTGCTTTTCGCATTGATGGCATTTACGAAAAAGATCGAAACTCGTTTATATACATATATATTTTTGGGCCATCGATAAACCATTGGCCAATCACCGAAATGAGTCGAATATGTGATTTGCTGCATTCGTGGGGCAGCTATCATTAAAAATGGATTAGGCCAGTCGCATAATTTAGCCACAGCGCCAATTAGCAAACGGCTACARCAACAACAACACTAACAACTGCAACTGGAGCTGGAGCTGGAGCTGGAGTTGAAGTTGATGCTGGAAGCTGACTCTTAAAGCCTAACCACTTATATCTCGTCTCCCGAGCATATAAACATAAATGCCTAAGCGCGCACAGCGAGTCAATAAGAAACCAAAAAACAGCAGCAACGACGACAACAACCACAACAACAACAAATACAACTCTTAATGCGCACTTCGGAGGCTCATAAAAATATGACTTTAATATTTTCACGCGCAGGCGTTGCAGAGCAGACCACAACGCAGAGCGCAGAGCGCAGAGCGCAGACAAATGCGCGTAACTGGGCCTGCAAACTGGCAGAACTATGGGCAGGCGCAGGAGCAGCGCAACGCATGATACCAAAAAGGGCAGCCAGCCATACACTGAGAGAATATTGGAGGCATTTAAACATTTAAGGAAGGAAAGTTGCTTAGAAATGAAGGTTGAATAAATAAAATTGATAAAAACAAAATTTTCAATGTAATCTACATTTGTGACATCCTATTATACTATGCTTATAGAATGCTTACCATATAGAGAGCATAAAATCATAAAATAATTCCCAAGAAGGACTAATGCGTATCTTTTGATTATTCATGCATTCTTATAAAGACTCACTTTAAACTACAAACATTTTAGAAAATATAATAACTGTTGTAAAAGGAATGCCTCACAGTCTTTAAACATTTTTCTCCTTGAACTTACTGTGTTGCCCCATAAACTTTTTTTCATGTGCATATTTAGCGTCTAGGTCTAAGCGACCCACCGCTGTGCCAATTGCCTTATCTTGAAAACGGCGGTGGGTTTCATTTTTTGTCTCTAGTAGCTGCCGCTTCTCAACATTAAAATAGACTTCAAATTATGGGTGCAATGCCAACACATATCATCTGGACGTATCTGCATCTGCATCTGTATCTGTATCTGTATCTGTATCTGTATATGTATCTGTATCTGTATCTGTATCTGCATCTGCATCTGTATCTGTATCTGTATCTGCTGTATCTGTATCTGTATCTGTATCTGTATCTGTATCTGTATCTGTATCTATATATCTCTATCTACATCTCCATCATCCATATATATCTGTATCCATCTACATCTCCATCTGCATCTGCATCTTTAACTGCATTCTTCTTGTTGTTGTGGACCTGAACCTGGCGCTTGCGTTGGCCGTGGGTAATTACATGGAACGCTGACATGTTCGTGGCGCTCTGCCCGCTGGCCGAAAATTTACGAGTGTGTAGCCAAAATAAAGCGCCAATTGGAGGCGGAAGCCACAAAGCCACATTAATTCAAACAATGCGACTGACTGCGAGGCCGAGTTCAGTTCAAATGCAAAATGCAGCGTTGGTCTTAGTTTTGTGCGCTGTTTCTGTTTTCAGTTTTCTGTGTTTTGTGTTTTGTTTTGCCACGGCATTTGAAAGTTTGTGGCCTCGTGTCCAGCTGCAATGTAAAGTGGGCGGTGCCGGGGCACTGGCAGCACAGCACACAGAGTCAAGCCCAAACTAAAAGAAAACCCATAAAAGCTGTTCAACATGCCATCAATAAAAAAAACCAAAAGGAAAAAAGAAACAACAATGCATAAAGCGAGCCTTGGCCAAGAAAAAGAGAGAGAGAAAAATATATGTCGCTACCACGGCAAATGGCAACAATTGTACTCAATCCTGGCAAACAGCTAAGGCTGAAAACGACGAACGACGTAATTGAGTCGCGAAAGACGTATGACCAGGGTCTCCCTAGCCGAATGGCAACAGGTAAGGCCAAACGTATCGTTCGTCATGGGCAATTGGCAAATGTAGCCACAACAAGCTGACCAAATGAGAGTCACAAACCAAGAGCCGGCCAGCCAGCCAGCTGCTAGCCAGACAAACAGACAGATCAAGCGCAGATAGTTTTGTTTGTGCTCGAGTCGATCACTCATCTAAAAGTACAAAACGATCCGCCTGGCAAGCAATGAGCACCACCAACAGCTCCCGCGCCGGCGCAGGCGCAGGCACAGGCACAGGAACCACTTGAAAGGCCATTTTTGGACTTGTAACTGGCAACGACTTACGACGATCTTGATCACAATTTGAGCGTTTGTCTGCACGTTGCAAGCTCATGAGCTTCAATTGTTCAAGGCATGTAACAAGCCCCTCTCTCTCTCTTACTCACACACTCGCTCTCTCTCTCTCTCATCTCTGATTTTCTCAGTCTCTGTTGGTCTGTGTTTCCTGTTTGTACAACATGCCATTTGGAGCGCTTTAAGATTGTGCAGTAACCCCAATTACAAGCGATGCTGCAGTTTTTTCTGGGTTAAGACCCTTTTGTGGGCAACCTGTTAACTGGTCAGCAAACCTTTGCATACCCTCTACTCATTACAAACTTGAGGAAAGGTGGGTATGCAAGAGCTAAGAATGAGTAATGAGGAGTAATATCTACTTAGTGATATTAAATCGCATTTTGTAATTTAATCAATATTGACAGCCTAAGATACTTAAAACTTTCTCATAAGCTTTTTTTTTAAACCTTATTTAATCATTTCGATTAATATTGATAATCATTTTAAATATTTATGTATAATATCATTTAAATCTATAAATATTTTTATAAAGTGCTAACTTTTATAATAATCGATGAATATAGAATCTCTGGGTTGGCCTTTTTAGTACTTTCTAATTCAATAGATCAAGTGCATAGCTTGCTCCATTCTCTGCCTCTCTTCTGCTGGTTTCATATTCTATTCGTCTGCAGGATATTTGCTAGTCTGGCATTCTCTTTGCTAGAGCACTCTTACTTGCTCATAGCTGTTGTTGTTGTTGCTGCTGCTGCTGCCGATGCGCATTGTTGTTCAGCTGGCCGCCACGGCGGCGGCGTAGCTGCCCACAAGACCAGCCCACTGGAACAATCCCAAGTCGAGAGGCTGCCGACGCCGCCGTATCTTTTAGATACTCGCAACTGACTGCGCCAAGGCAATTAGATAGCAGCCGAAACACACAACACACACAGAGAGACGGGCACGTTGATGAGTTTATGGCAAAAATTGATTTCCAGTTGTCGTTGTTGTTGTTGCTGTTGTTTTTGCTGCTCCCGTTGCTCCTGCTTTAGCCAAGTTTTTTCATTGGCAAACTGTGTTTGTCTTTGGAAAATGGCATTCGTCGTAACTGCCTCACACACGCCCGTCTGTCCATCTGTCCATCTGTCCGTCGGTTTATCCGTCTGTCATGCTGTCCGTCTGTCAGTTGGTTTTAGTTGCTGTTGCCATCATTTAATTGCTCATTTTAATGAGATTTTTCAGCGTTTTTCCCGCTGTTTTCTGCAGTTGCTGTTGTTGTTGTTGTTGTAAGTTATATTGCCTGTTTTCCACTAGAATCGACGATCGACGATCGACGAGATCAGCAGCTGAGCTATGATTGGGCGTATTGTGTTTGGGCGTCTAGATAACAATTTACATACAACTCCTTGTAATTGGCCCCCTCTCACTCTCTCTCTTCATTTCTCTCCTTCTCTCTGATTTTTCTTGTCTCGTTACATCGATAAAATTAGCGATTCGCTGCGATCTTAACTGTTGCTTTGTTGAGATCGAAAGGAAACAGTTGTCAACAACGGCGCGAGATTTGATATTGATAAGCAAAAAGAAAACGAGAAAGCAATAAACAAAAAAAATCGGTTGAGTTGATATAACTAGGTGAGACAGTATGTTAATTCACATCCAATACCCTGGATTTCCTGAGTTGCTAAAATGTGACTTTGATGTCTATTTCTGATTAAGATAAAAAACACTTCAGCAAATCTGGTTTCAGTTGAGACAAGCAGCAACAATTGTACAGAGCTTTTATTTATTTTCTAAGTTCAAATTATTTATCTTCTTTTAACAATGGATAGTCATTAAATCATTTGATTTGATTAGTAACTATTTATTTTTTAGGAAGGGAATCCAATTTACAATGGTTCTTCCATTGCATAGTGTATATATAATATTATCTCATCTTAGTCGAAAGATTTGTTTCTCAGTAATGTAGGTTGATAGATTGGGCAATAAATTGTGATTATTATCTAGCAGTTGATCTCAACCATTCAGTTATTACTGTAGATAGGATACAGATAGATAGGTGGAGATAAATGAATGTGGGGGATAGACAGACGTAAAGATAGAGAGAGAATCTCCATATCATTGAAGACAAATAGACAGAATCAAAATAGAGATGATTTGGGCTAGAGATACGCAACTCCATATGAATTTAACTTTATTTTATAAGATATATAACAATGTACGTATCCATGTATTTATCTTATTCTCCCTACTTAAAGTAGGTGGACTTTTTTAGCTTTGTCTAAAAATCTAAAGAATCACACGATTAGTCAAAAAAGCCAGCCACTGTTCTGTGCCCACTAATACCTCTCTTTTTTCTAAGCCCATAAAAGAGTTCTCAAGCTATTTAGAACACAATTTTTGTCGATAAATAAGAATGAAAACTGTTTAGCATAAGAACAAAACGTTCGACGATCGTTTCTATATTGAGACGGCGGCTTTCATTGAAAGAATGAAGCCAAGTGATCGAAAAAAAAGAAAGATTTGTTGTTGGTTGTTTTTTTTACTATACCTTATTTCCATAATCCAGAGTAAGTATATTAAAAGTTTGTTGTGTATTTTCCACATGGCTACGCCGTTAAAGAAAATAAGCAAGCACAAGCACGAACACAGGCACGAACACAATCACGAGCACGAACGGGAAGGCAAATAGAAATACAATAATTCCTCATATTCTTTTCATGCTAAATGCGCGGCTCGGAAACTTAAGAACTCGCCATAGAAAATTTGTTGAGCTTTGCACCATATTTTTTATTATCGTTTGTATATATATATCTATATATATATATAGATTTTTTACTGATGAATTGCAGACATTGGATAGCTTTTTTTATTATTATCGAGCTCAAAGAGCAGACGACAGCAAAAGTAAACAAACTGAAGCTGCAGATCGTTGACTGAGTTTGACTTTGAGTTTTGAGATAGCCGAAATAGTTGTTGTTGTCGATGTTGTTGATGTATTTGTCCATATGCTAATTAACACCTTCTGTGTAGCGTCATTTTAAATTAACTCATCGTTCGGAGAGCGCTGAGTTGATGAAGCAGCTCGTTTATCACGTCGCGTCTCGTTGCGATTTCATTCATGCAAAATAACTTGGCCTTAACAGCGCATCATTCATCAGCGGCATCAACAGCATCAGCATCAGCTCTAGCACCACACGCACCACTCGCGCCACTTGCACCACTCGCACTGATCAGACAGCAGAGACTTGTGCGACTCTGCGACTACACGACTTTTTAATTTATGATAAAGCGCCTGCCGACTGTCACAACCAAATTGCGGCAATAACCATAAACGGCGCAGCAGGTGAAAACTACCAAAAACGAAGAATTCAACAGGTAGAAAGAGAGGGAGCGAGAGAGGGAAAGAGTAAGAGAGAGAGATAGGGAGGGAGGCGAAGAGACACTTTGAAATCTTTGTATCGTGTGAGTGTATTTCGTATGTTGTATGTTAATTCACACAGCGCGCGATAAAGATGCCGCAGGAGTCGACATCATCGTCGTCGTCGGTGTCGCCGCTGTCGTCGGCATTGGCATCGTTGTCGGCCTGACCGCTTGAAAGGCTTAGATGGGCTCGTCCCGGGTGCCGAGATTAACATAAATGCGGCTCATTAGTGACACAATTAAAGAGCTGAGCCGACAAAATGCAAAACGATCCCCAACACGCGACGCCACACGGTTTCGATTTCAGCTGTAGGTTTAGGGGTTTTTCTTTCGGTTTTGTTTTTGGGAACCCGGGTCAACCGTTGAACGCGCTTGTCGTATAAGAACTGGCAGACGGCCAGTTGAAATGAAATTCGTAAAACTATTCAATCAGCTGGCACAGCGAACATGTTTGAGCTGAGTTCGAGGAAGCTGCGCGTGAGCGAGGTTGGCTATGGCAGTTTGTGAAACGTTGAAATGGAGTTGAATACAAGCAGAGACGAAATGAGACACACTGAAATATAGATAAAAGAACAAAGAGTTAGAGAGAATGAAAGAGACAGGCAGAGAGCAAGGCAGAATGAAAGGGAGATATAATCAAGAGCAGAAAGACAATAAGAAACAGATGGAGGGAGAGAGAATGAGATAGAAATAAATAGATAAATAAATTAATAGATAGATAGAACCCGAGAGAGAAAATGAAAGACTAAGAATAGACATAGTTGACATCAGCGGTAGTTGAATTTGTGAGAATCGCATAGGAGAGAAGTGTAAACAAGTTGAAATTAAACAGCAAATCAGCTTTGATATAAAGAAATAAGTACATTAATATATATTTTTATATATAGAAATTAACATAAAAATACATTCGCTCGTATATATAATATAGATATACATATTATTCTTGAATTTTAATATCTATATTCTCCCATATTACAGCTCAACAAGCGCGAATTAAGGCACTCCTAGGTAAGTGATAATAATAATAATTTTATGGATTTAAGTATGAGTCAAAAGACAAGAGAATATTACAAGTGACCCAACTAGTCCTTGCGCGGCTCCCAGTTAAAAAAAAAATTATAAGTATATTAATCATAGCGAACTCAAACAGCAGACAGTTGCTGGAGCCCAACTTGTTGAACTGCCCTCTGCAATGTTTGCTGGCAGCTGCAACATGTTGCAAGCGATCGCTGCTTAGCGCTGTGTTACAGGATCCTTTGCACGTGAATTAAGTCCAACTCTGGCATTCTGAGACGTCAGTACGGGGTACCATTAAAGCCCATTATTGTTGGCTGATAATGGCTTGGGAAAGCTTCTCTCACGCTCTCCCTCCCCCTCCCAAGCGGCTCTCCGGCTATCTCTTACTTAAATTGTGACACGGCAATCAAATCAATTATTTATCGATGCGGGTAAAAGTCGTGTTAACGGACCGAGAAGACATTACAGTGGGTTAATGTCAAGAATTTGTGGCTTGCGGCTGAAGGGGGCTGGCACTGTTTCGAGCATTTATCAAATGGCCAACAGGTGATTTGTCAGCGCACTTCACACACACACACACACACACTTGCACACACCCATCATGTTCATCAATGTGTATTTACAAGTGTTTTTCGTCATTTATTTCTCTTTCTGTCGATTTTGTTTCTTGTTTTTTGTTTTTACAAATTTACAACTTGTTTAAATTTGCAACAACTACAGCGATTACAGCAGTTAGCAGTTTACTATTTTACAAAGGTGTGTGTGTGTTTTTTTTTCTCTAGTTTTTGCTTTGTATTTTGTATTTGTTCAAAGTGATTTATTGTCGGTTATTTACTGGCCAGTTGTGAAATGCTACGCTACGCGCTTCTGCCACGGTAGTCACAAAACAGCTTGACATTTGCCAACAGCAACAACAGGGTGAGGGCAAAGTGGTTGGGGGAGCTTCAATTAATGCTACCTGCCGTGTCCAAGACAACCAAATGCAACTGCAGCAGCTACTGCAGTAACAACTTCTCTCTCCTTCTCTCTCTCTCTCTCTTTCTCCTTCTGTGTCAAACTCTAATGCATTTCTTGGATACGAGTTGTCGCCTTTTAATTGATTTACCATTTATGCAAATTTGAACTTGGCTTTCGTGTTGCATAAATCTCTTGCCATATATACATATATTAACTGCTATCTGTATATATGTATGCGTGTATTTATTTATAAATATTCGATCTTAGTCTATGCGCATGTAATTGATGACATTTTAAGCAGAGTTTGTCTCATTAAATGCAATTAACTTTAAATACACAATTTTGTTCACCAGCGTTGACAGGCAATAACACAGTTCATAACTCAACAAATCGACAACAACAACAGTTGGTAATAACAACAAAGATATATGTAGTGTGTTTGTCATGGCCCATTGTCTGGCATCGAGTGCTATACTTAGTTTCGATTGTTAGTAACGCTTTTTTATACCCACTAAAAATGTGTATTGATGGCTATGATAGTTTTTTATTCTTTATACATATGAAGTTAATGATATGTTCAGGGTATGTCATAGTCAGTCAGTGTTGGACGTTTGTCAGCCTGGGATTTTATATTGGCAAACGTGTCTCGTCATCAGCTAACATTAACTGTAATTTCGTTCCTAGAAAGATGAGCCAAGTCCACAGTTCGCTCTTCGCTATCAAAAGCCCTGCGGTGCTCTTACTCTATATATATTAAATTGCCAATTGTGTTGGTAATCTTGAAGTGCTTAGATTAACAGCTCATTGTCGTGACAGCTGTGGCATTTCAATAAACACTGCATGCCAAAAGAAGACGTGCCAAAGTTATGGGAATTGACGTACGAATTGTAAAGGGAAATATCTGAAGATTTGAGTCAGACATAAATAGGACATTTAGATTTATGTATAGCAATGCTCAGAGTCCGTAAGACTCCTCATTACAGGGTATATATGTTTGGTCATTTGAGCAAAAGTCTTGAGCTTACATTCCACACGTGTGAAGCTTTCAATTAATGTTGATATATTGATCATCAGATGACCCACATACTGTAGTGTATATTGCTAATAGTATTTACGATGACTTTTATTATGTGCTAAGATTGTTAAAGAAAAAAAACGACAGATACAATATAATTATTTTATGGCAAACTAGCTGCATAGATGTTTTTTACGACAGCCAATCGATTCTTGATTAGTTAGTCACTTTAAGAGCTATTTGATGAGGAATTTTAGCTTATTTATGCGAATTGCTGTTGAATATATTCATCAGTAGCGAAGCTCTTCTATATATAGTTTCTAGACGTAGGATCAAGTCATTTTCATATAAATTGAAAATTATTATTTTCATATCGAGTTTTTAACTTAAGTCTTTTGATATGTGGTCCATTTCAAAAGTTATATAGATTAAGCTTGTGGAACTATTCATTTGATGAGTATTCAAATCGTACTCTTGCTGCAATAAAAGCAGCTGCAACTTGACCACTAGACGCATAAAAAGCGAGTAAGACATGGAGCTATCGACTAGGAAATACCCTTGGAGAAAAATTTTAGTAAACTTTATGTTTGTGGAAATTTATCAAAGTGGAGAAGTTTCAATCCGTTTCAACCTGATAAAATATTGTATACCCATATACACTTAAGCTCATATATTACCAGAGTCAACTCCACCTATCTTTGCTACATTCACTCTAAGCAAAACATTATACCCCATTCATCTATTTCCAATGAGTTCAGGGCATCTAAAAAAAAATAATAAAAATCAGAAGCGTGAAACAATAAAATAATAACTCCGAATTTCCAGCTAATAAACAAATTTGGAGTTCAAATAACAAAAAAACCAAAAAAAAAAAAAAAAAAAAAACAAATTGTGGGCGTAATAAAATCTTTATATACATACATTTTTATTTCATATATAGCTGGTATTATTATGAATGTTGTTGTTGTTGGTTGTAACAACGGGAATTTCAATAGAGCAACGCTTGGTTTCACATTTCCCGCTTCCGCTGTGTCAGGCAACAGCCAGTGGAACGATCCAATCTGAAAGGCACAATGCAGACGCATTGGCCGGAATGGACACGTAACGATAACAAATCACATCATCTATTGCTGTTAGAGAGGATCACGTGACATGACACGAACTAGGTGTTATATAACGCAAACAAAGTTTATGTTGACAAAAAACAACTAATTATGTCATTAGAAAGTAAGACAAAAGAGCAGATTAGCGCTCTGAAAAAAAGTTAGGCATAAAATATTAATATTCCACCTTATGTTAGTCAAGTTTTTAGGCTCCCTCCCATCATAGTCTATAAATAATTACTCAATATGATTTCAGATGCTCTTACTCTTATACTATGAAAATTCTCAAGTCTTAGAACTTCATTCTAGAGTATCGTATAGCCTTCTGAAACCCATTCTGAAATCAATTTTTAATCGGCTTTATTTGATGTAAATTTCTGTTCATATTAACTTCCCCTACTCACGCTCCCATCTCTAATGACAAATGAGTGCAACAAATCGCATTTGTCATAGATAGAACTGAAGCGAGAGAACATTTGATATGTTGTTTGTATTTGAAATAAATTAGGCTAAACAGCGATTGGCATTAAAACAGGTGTAAATTGAGCCAAGACAGGAAGGCTTTGGGCGTCAGTCCAATATAATGCACAAACAGCATCCAATTACAGGCAAGCAGATTTATATTAACAAGACGTTGCGAATGGATTTGGCATTTGGCATTGTCTACGTAATTAGGCAACAATGCAGCCAACAGATACGAAAAAAGAGGCTCAAACATGCTCAGGTGTTAATTGAACTGAGGAAAGGTGGAGTAGTGGAAGAAACACTCTAGCAACAGCTGCAGCCGACGGCAGGTAAAAATCTAGCTCTTATCGACAACATGTTGCAAGGTTTTTCTTTTAACTCGTCTGCTGACTTTCACCCTGGCGATAGGCCAAGGGTTAACGGCGCCAGACAAATTGTTCACTAATTGGTTTTATTAAGCTATCAAGAATTAGGAAAAGGGTATCTTAGGGCCTAGGCTCTTAATGGGAGGTGTGACAGGAAACACATGACGTTGATAAGTTCACTTTTTATGCATTGAGCCCATTAAAAATGTGTAAACGGTGCTTGATCTTGTTGGTGGTGTCGCTGACTGTCCTTAAAGATATGTATGTGAGTATAAGAATATCTGTTTAGAAGACTATTATACCATAAGAGTCTAGAGTGGGTGTTTGTATGTGTGAGCGTGTGTGTCTAAGAGCATAGGATTCTGCCTTCATGAATATGAGTAAGAGAATACATTTACTCATAGTACAGTTTGG